GCCGATATAAACAGTGGTATCTGATATTGATGAGACTGTAGTTGGTCACTGAAAGTTAATAGTGGATGTGTTGTATTTTTTAATTCTAATGTAAAAGCCATTAAAGTGGTGGCTTTCAAACTTTTTGACCAAAACAATTTGTTTTGACCATAGTAAGAAGTATGATTTACACTGCCACTTAGTATACGTGTATTCCAGAAGCAAAATTTACCCTTACTACAGATATTGCACTCTAATTTTTTTTCTATTCTATACTAATCTATTTCATGCCTTTTAGTGCTAGTCACAACCCACTAACTTGATTTTACAACCCACTAATTGGTCATGACCTGTCGTTTGGGCCACTGCATTAAAGCATCTGCTCTAATCTTTCTTCCAGTATGTCATGGTCTTTTCTGATACATAATCTAGCCTGTTTTCAAACCCATCGACAAGTGTTTAGGGAAACTATTCCAATATGGAAGAATGCAGATCAAAAGTACTACGGATAGAAGAAAGTCTAAATCTTGATAAGAGAGGCTGATCAGAATATTTAGGATTCTAGTTCCTACTGTGAACAACCAGCCTTACCTACATAGGTTCAACTTTCTATTTCTGCACCTTTAAATAAATAAAGGAAACTTGAAAAGGAACCAGGGAAATACTAGGGTGTTCCACAGCCTTGGGAGGAGAGGTGTCCGTTCCCCTGATCACCTGTCATCACTTCAGAAAGCAGGTTACACAGTTTGCTTACTCTCAGCAGCATGGGATGGCTAAGCCATCAGAGCCCCACCTGGGAAGGAGTGTCTTCCTTACTTTCCCCCTGGTCCAACACATCACACGTCACTCATCTCACATCACACATCTCATCACAGACACACACACACACACACACACACACACACACACACACACACACACACCCTTTGCAGAATACCTTTCCTGGACCCCTGCTCTGTGAGTGGTGGTGGGAGGGGAGGTGCTATCATCACTGACAGCCACCCTTCTACCCCCGGGAATGAGAGGTGACAGCTAAGGTGAATGCAGAGGCGTTTTTTCCCTGGGGCCTCTGAGCGTCATATCCCAGCATGCCGTCCAGCTGACCTGGGGTAGATTCGATCCTGAGCTCCGAGGCAGTTCAGCTCTTGGGTGAGGGCCTGTGCCCAGAAGCATACCTGCTCTCCCCATGTGCAGGCGGATGTGCACCTGTACCCGCAGGTTGGCCCATTCATGGCTATATGGATCATGTCATCCAGCCCAGAATAACCACTGAGATGCTCAAATTCTCTAGGACATTCTCTATATCCCTCTTGCCTACCCCCAGTCCCAGCATTAATCAGACTTTTAGGAAGCTGCAATTCACAAGTATTTCTACATTTAGCAGAATTCTCGAGCCTGGAATTACGGCTACATTGTCACGGCTTCTGTCATGGCCCTGAGAGCTCCCAGCATAGCCATCACACTGAGAATCACCAACAGGCTCCACATATGCTGCCAAGACTTGACACCATAACTGCATGACCGTATTAATCACAGCGAAGAAATCAAATGACCTCCATGGCCAGTTATTCCCTCGGTAGCACCTCTTCTAGAAAAATCAAGGGGAAGCTCCTCTCTTTCCCCATGGCCCTGAGCGTCTATGGCAGTTAGGGAAATATAGGAACGTACCCACCCCTGAAAGAGAACCATGTCACTGCCAGAGATCTGGAGGTGGGGTGGAGTGGGGGGGTGGGGCCTTCCTTTATCTTATTCTTGCACCCTGCTTTGCAGCTTATCCAGGCAGGAAAAGGGGAAGCCATCCGGATCAGGTCAATCCTGCGCTCCCTTGTCCCCACCGAGGACTTGGTTGGGATCATCAGCATCCCCTTGAAACTGCCCTCCCTGAACAAAGGTAAGAGACGCAGCGGAAGTTTGTCCTACGGTGCCCCCGGGGGCCATTCTCTCAGGGTCAGGACGCTGTCCAGCAACGCATGCTCTTTCCAGGCTAGTCCTGCAGGGCAGGCAGCAAGGGGAAAGCCTTGTTCTTTTCCTGGTGATGAGGAGTTCTCTCCTCCCGGCTCCAGCCAGCTGCTCTCTCTTCTGTTCCCCAGTGTCACAGACTCCTGTCCCCTGCGTCCCATAGATATGGACAGTCCAGACCTCACAGTCCTCCAAACAATCTAAGCCTCTGGAAGAAGGCTAATGGAATGGGATCAGTGGAAGCTCTCACCATGGCCTGCCTTCTCCTGTGCCGCTGTGTCCCCTAGCTTGTGCGGCCAACTGGGGCAACAGATGGATAGGGCCTGACACAGGCTCCCTTCTGTCACAGTCCTGTGTACTTCATGGCCATGGATCATAAACAGTCTTTCCCCCAGTGCTACTTGTGACACTTGGCATCAGTCAGTGTTAACGTTGCAAAACTTCTACTCTCCCAGAAGCACTCAGTTTCTCCATGTCACTCCACCTGCTCTCCAGGAAGTTTCATTTGTTATAAGGCAGATGGAGGAATTGAAACGACAGCATGACTCTGACTGTTACAGTGTTTCCCAAATTGGTGTTCCGTGGAACATTTTTGTAGAAGATATTAATTGGTGTACAAGGGGTTTGGAGTCAAATAAGTTTGGGAATGCTATGCAGTGTATCACATTTTTTCCAGCTTTCTTGAGATATAATTGATATCTAACATTTATGTAAGTTTATGGTATACAGTGTGATGATTTGATACACATATGTATTGCAAAATGTTGAACACATTAAGGTTAGTTAACACATTCTTCACTTCACATAATTACCATTGTTTTGTTGTTGTTCTTTTTTTTTTTTAATTTTTTTTTTATTGTTAGTTTCAGGTTTGTTGTTGTTCTTATGGTGAGAACACTTAAGCTGTACTCTCTAGCAACTTTCAAGTGTACAATACAGTATTGTTCACTGTAGACACCATGCTGTACACTAGATCCACAGAACTTGTTCATCTTACAACTGGAAGTTTGTACTCCCTGACCAGCATCCCCCCATTTCTCCCACCTCTCCCAACCCCTGGTAACCATGAGCCTACTCTCTGTTTCTATAAGTTCCGTGTTTTTAGATTTCACGTGTAAGTGAGATCACAGTATTTTTCTTTCCCTGTCTGACTTATTTCACTTAGCGTAATGCCCTCAAGGTCCATCCATATTTTTGAAAGATTTCCTTCTTTTTTATGGCTGAATAATATTCCGTAGTGTGTGTATCACATTTTCTTTATCCATTCATTCATCAGCAGACACTTAGACTGTTACATTGCTCAAGGATCAGCTGAATATTCATCAGGGATATTGGCCTGTAGTTCTCTTTTCTTGTAGAATCCTTATCTGGCTCTGGAATCAGAGTAATGCTGGCCTCATAAAATAAGATTGGCACAGTTCCCTCTTCAATTTTTTGGATTAGTTTGAGAAGGATTGTTATGAATTCTTCTTTAAATATTTGGTGGAATTTACCCATGAATTCATCTGGTTCTAGGTCTTTCATGTTTGGAGGTTTTTGATTTCTGATTTAATCTCTTACTCATTATTGGTCTGTTCAGGTTTTCTACCTTTCATCTTTCATTCTTAGTAGATTGCATGTTTCTAGGAATTTAACCATTTTTTCTATGTTGTCAAATTTGTTGGTGTACAGTTGTTCATGGTAGTCTCTTATAATCCTTTGTATTTGTGTGGTATCAGTTATAACATCTTTCATTTATCATTTTACTTACTTGAATTGTCTCTCTTTTTTTCATGGTAAGTCTAGCTAAAGGTTTGTCAACTTTATCTTTAAAATAAATGAGCTATTAGTTTTGTTTTTTTAAAGATTTTTATTGGGGAATTGGGGGATGGGAACAGCACTGGGGAATTGGGGAAAGGGGAACAGACAAGTTGCTGTCGTTTTTGTTCTTNGCTATCCTGAGCCAGGACCACCTACCTCAGTCACTCCTAAATTCCTGACCTACAGAAACTGTGAGATAATAAATATTGTTTTAGCCTGCTAAGATTTGAGGTAATTTTTTATGCAGTAATTAATACAATAGCATATCTCTATTCATACAAGTGCAACCTCTATTATAGAGCTGAGTCCTCCAAGAACTATCTAATGATTTTGTGGAAGAGTTTTTTTTTCAGGCTTCATCCAGTGTACAACATCAAAATAGTCTTATTTTTGAGTCTTGGCTGAGAGATACATTCTCAGACACAAATTCAGCTTTTACCTGAGACAGAAGGTGTGTTTTGTGAAGTTGATTGAGCAGCTGAAAAACTGCTTTTGACTCTGAGTATTGGCTCTGAGCGGCATTGGCTGTCTCTCTCTACATGTGACAGTTCTACTGCTTAATCCCTTCATGTCTCAGGAAATGAGATCCTGTCTTAGCTATGTGTGGTTCTTCCAAAGAGAAATAGCAGGAAAATACAATTCTCCAATATTGAGCTTCCCACAGAGCTATTTTAGGAATAACCAAGACAACTTTACCAAGTAGATTTTCATCTGGAGAAATGATTTCAGAATGCCCTGAGGTCCACCCACACAAATCTGGTTGTTCTGGGGTAGGTGTTAGACTATGAGAATACAGCTCAGGAGCTAGGATGTCACTTCTGCAGGTGCTAATTGAGGCTTGAGTTACCCTTTTACCTCCTCTCCAAGAAGGAAGGAAATACCTGTGAAACACCCCTCATGGAGTTAATAAAGTTATAAAGATATTTTTATTCTCTAAGTCACCTGTGAATTAACCAGTAATCAGTGGAAGACTTGGTAGTGTATTTTTTGCCCTCTGAGGATATAAATATAGTGAAATAATATGAACAGCACAAATTCCTGAATTGGAAAATAAGATTCTGATTTATATTGGTTAATCACAATACTTCAAATACAGATTCTGATGTAAATGAGCAAAGCTCACCTTTGTCTCCATATTACCTCCTGGTCTTAAGGGCGAGTGACCAGCTCAGTCAAGCACTGTTCTCCCAGCTTCATCAATTAGAAATACATTCTGAAGTTGTCCTTTCCAATGAGAAGAAGATAATGCCTCTTTTCCTTAGGTGAAAGTGTGGAAGAAAATGCTAGTGTCGTGGTCAAGCTGCTCATCAGACGCCCCGAGTGCTTCGGCCCAGCCCTGCGGGGTGAAGGAGGGAACGGTCTGCTGGCGGCTATGCAAGGTGCCATTAAGATCTCTGAGAACCCAGCCCTCGACCTCCCCTCTCAGGGATACAAGAGAGAAGTGTAAGTGAATGAAATGGCCTCCTGGCATGGATGTGATTGGCGAGCTCCCAAGTATTGTCAGTATATGGATTGTTATAGAAGTGCCAATAACTTCCCCCAGTAGAGAAGGCATGGGTTCTTTACAGTTGTGCTGAAAACGTTTTCAATCACTTTGTCAAGCACGTTGTTGCTTTGACTCTCCCAAGAAGCCTAGCGATCGATATCACCTTCACCCCCTTTCATTTCTCCTACTCTGGTTAGACCACTTGGCAAAATCAAGAAGTTGCCAAGCTCTTTGAGCAACATCGTGCCTCCCTACAGCTTCAGCACGGGAGGGAACTGTGTAGAGGCTGAAAGACCTCGACTGGCAAGGTCATGGTCACTGTCTAACTCCAGCCTGTTTCCTTCAGTGTTTTAAACCTTGGTGTCTCATCTCATACCTCACTTTTAAAAAGACACAGGACTCTCCACTTCCTCTTCTGAAAGTGTTTTNAGCTCTGCAAAGCTCTTCTGCTCGAATTTTCTTCCAGGAGAAGGAAATTTATCGTTGGCCAGCCAGAGAGTCCCTGAAAACCATGTTGGCCATGGGCTGGACTGTGGAGAGGACCAAAGAGGGAGAAGCCCTAGTTCAACAGCGAGAAAACGAGAAGCTCCGAAGCATGTCCCAGGCCAGCCAGGTAGGACGGAGGCGGATGCTGGGCCAGTAGAAGGCGTGGAAGATCTGGGAAAGCTCTCCCTGGGGTTTCAGAGGCCAGGACCACCAACGATGAGCTCTGGGGGTCTTTTGGGATCCATCTTTGGCCGCTGATGTCAGAATGCTGGTAAGAAGGAGAAGAATAACAGCAACCCCAGTGAATCTGCCTTTGCTTTCCCTAGGGCAACAGCTACAGTCCAGCCCCCCAGGACCTCTCCAATGTGGTGCTCTCCAGAGAGCTCCAGGTCAGTGTGGATACTTGAAGAACAGCATAACTTGCTTTCTAAACCCCTCAAGTGCAGGATATGTTACCCTCCAAAGATTTTTATTAAAAAAAAAAAAAAGAAAAGAGGAGGAGAAGAAGAAAAGAACGCCAAGAACATATCACCACTAAAATATCAAAATTCAAGAGGGCCACCCTGGGCAGAGGTCACAGGGAAAGTCCCAGCAGAATTAACCAATCGTCTAAGAAAGTGAGGCTTTGTACTTCTATTGGGGACATTGTAACAGCAAATTACTATAGCAAAACCCAAAACAGAGCTAATAAGAGCTAGGAGAAAATCTGTGAAAAGGCCCCTAGGTGGGGGTGCTGTCCTGGTCCCAGTAGATTCCCACAATGATAAGGACACGTGCATAGCTGGTTGGGATTCACTTTAGTTCTCCATGATGGTGCAGATAAGCAATCGTTGCAGGATTTGGGGACACACCACCACGAGGATGCAATTAAGAGCCCTAAGCTTCTGCCTCCCATTCTTTCCTTCTGCACACACTGCTGGCCGTGACGCGCCCCAGCTAGGGGCAGATACTCCCCAGTCCATCTGATCAATTCTTTGGACCTTAGAGAAAGCTTCTTTCCAAAGTACACCCTTCATTCCAGTGCCTGTTTTATGAGCCTTATAAAGTTAAATTCTATCGGAGAAATTTTGTTGGCAGCAGTTTTCCCCAAGATGTGATTATTTTTAGCTTGCTACACTAAAGGACTTTCAGGGATTCTAGACTTTCCCTTCACCCCCACTTCCAGCTCCCAAATCTCAGGTCAGGAGTAATATACTGAGCTTTCATGACAAATGAAATGCCGCGAGAATGCACTTTCAAATGGAAATGTGTGTTTCTCATAAATGCATCAAACTGCCAGGATAATAAGTTACAAGGGAAGGACAGAATTTGAAATTGTTTTCTGTGTGTATGGGAAGATATAAAACTAATGAGGTGCATAAGTACAGACTAATTAATAATGAGAGACACTCAGTAATGTGCTGTTAGCATTTGGTGGTGCTCTGTTCCTGACGTTGCCTAAAATAGCCTGGCAGATCTGAACCCGTTTTTCTTGCTTCCTCTCTGACTGTTGCCTCCTCCGTGGGACACAGGGAATGGTGGAGGTGGTAGCTGAGAACTATCACAATATCTGGGCCAAGAAGAAGAAGCTGGAGCTAGAGAGCAAAGGTAAGCCTGATTCACAGCATCCTCCTGGAAGGTGAGCTGGGGAGGGGGGGCAGGTGTGTTTCCCCAGAAATGCAAAGGAAGAGCCAAATATTTTGTCATCTCTCACTTTACTGACCCCAGGTGGTGGCAGTCACCCTCTTTTGGTACCATATGACACCTTGACTGCCAAGGAAAAGTTTAGGGACCGAGAAAAGGCACAGGACCTGTTTAAATTCCTCCAAGTGAACGGCATCGTGGTGTCTAGGTAAGTCATCTTCCAGGTGATGTTAGCGGGAGCAGGGCCAGGCTTGTGGGTGTGGTCTCTCCTTCTCCAGGTAGTTGATCACCTGCCTACATAACAGATCGGAGTAAGGATGGTGGTTGGGCCTTTTGAAATGAGAAGATGTTTACTTTGGAGGATGAAGCCCTCTTTTCTGACATAAACAGGACTGGTCAATAGCAATTTTTAAGAATCAGTTACAGCCAAGAGTCGTGACAAATTATACACACAGACCCAAAGCATTTCATTTTAACTTAAAACATAAGCATGCATTCATTCACAAATCTTGTGCTGTAGGCCACCGCCTTTTCTTTGTATGTTGTTCTGGCAATTGGAATTATAAACCACATCCACATTGCATCCTCAAAGCTTTGGAATTTGGGCTTTCTTAAAGAGTAGTGAGAACTAAGGCACATACAAAACAATGTAAGTGCAGTATTCCTCTCCATGATTCGTTTTGCCCTCTCCTATCTTTTACAGTTTTCTCATCCATACCTACTCCAAAAACTATGTGTTTGGAAATTTGCAGTTGGAAGTCTTTGCAAAATATGCACCTTACTTCCCATAGAATCGACAGTTCTCTTTACCCTTTTATTTTGTTGTTTTATATGATGTTTAATTAAATTGCATAATAACAACAGTAAGCATAGCTGACAGAAGCAGTTTCTCTGAACGAAAGAAACTCAATGATTCTTAAGAAGATGCAGCTCCACTGGGGAGACTGAATGAGTCATGATACCCAAAGACGTTTTATCTCAACCTTATGTTTGTCAGAATTATGTAGATGAGTGTCTTCTAGGAGAATGCTCTTGGCTGCTTATGTCTTAAAAGCAGAACCTGTTTTCTTGCTGGTCAGATGCCAGTGGTGGGCGGTGCTACATAGGGTCCTGCTTGCCGCGTCCCTTGTAGAATGAGAAACAGGCTAGTGTTCCTCCTCTGATGGAGCCATTCCTCCTAAAACAAATGTTTGCTGAGCCAGCTGCTGTTTTCTTCTTTTCCTTTCCTATAGAATTTTTGCCATTGACTGGCAAGAACCCAAATAAAAATCTATACAAATATTTCTATTGCACCTCACATGAAAGAATAACAAAGCTTATTTGCCATATTGTCGAGCAAGAAAGGTCAGGCAGCAGGAGATGGCCTCCAGGGAAGCCTTGGAGAAAGACTCCCATCGTCATTTTCATCCTGTTCTTAACACCAAGACCAAGGCGTACTGTGATTTGCTGATAAATAGCTTGCTCACAGAAGTGAAAAAATTCCTCTTCGCTGTAACAAAAAAGAAAATCAAGGAAACAGAAGGGAAAAAGAGAGAGTCGAATTTAGCCAACATGTGTCTGAGTGGCCATGTGCCATGTGCTAGAGCCTGTGGGGGCACTTGGGTGTGCAGAGGAGGATGGGAGACCCTGTCACCAAGGAGCCTGTGGTTGCACCAGGGTGTGCAGAGGACAGGAGACCCTGTCACCAAGGAGTCTGTGGGGGCACCAGGGTGTGCAGAGGAGGACACAAGACCCTGTCACCAAGGAGAGTTCCTAGTTTCCTGCTACCCACACCCGAGACCTGCTCCAGCCTCAGCTTCCCCACCAATCAGTGACAGCCCTTTCTTCCTGGGGCTCAAGCCCAAAACCTTGACTCCTCTTTTTCTCCTAAATGACATCCAATCCTTCAGGAAATCTTGATGATTTCTTAATGAAAATGGAACTCCACTGGGGAGATTCCACCCTTAAGATACTCAGAACCTGACCCCTTTTCACCTGCTCTTTACTGTCACCATCATTTCTGAAAGACCCTCCTACCTGGGTACCCTGTTGCAACCCTTGTCCCCACAGTCAACTTTATACCTAGCAACGAGAGTAATTCTCTTGCAGTATATGTCCTATCATGTCACTCCTCTATTCAAAACTTTCAGTAGCTTTCCATCTCAGAGCAAAAGCAAAATTCAAAGGATGGCATACAGGGCCCTAACAATTTATACCACTGCCCACCCCA